TGAGACAGAGTCTTGCTTTGTCACCAGGCTGGAGGGCAGTGGCATGGGCTGGGCTGATTGCAACTGGGTTCAAGTGATTCTCCTGCTTCAGTCTCCCGAAAAGCTAGAACTACAGGTGCATGCCACCACAGCTGGCTAGATTTTTGTATTTTTGGTAGAGATGGCATTTCACCATGTTGGCCAGGCTGGTCTCAAACTCCTGATCCCAAGTGATCCACCTACCTCAGCCTCCCAAAGTGCTGGGATTATAGGCTTGAGCCATTGTGCCTGGCCTTTCTTCCTTTCTTTTCTTTTTTCTTTTTTTTTTTTTTTTTGGCAGGTTCTTGCTCTGTAGCCCAGTAGCCCAGGCTGGAATGCAGCGCCACAGTCATGGCTCACTGTAGCTTCAACCACCCAGGCTCAGGTGATCCTCTTGCCTCAGCTTTCCAAGTAGCTGGGAATACAGGTCTATGACACCATGCCCAGCTAATTTTATTTTCATTTTTGTAGAGGTGGAGTCTCACTATGTTGCCCGGGCTGGTCTCAAACTCCTGGGCTCAAGAATCCTCCTGCCTCAGTCTCCCAAAGTGCTGGGATTATAGGGGTGAGCCACCTCACCATGCCCAAAACTTTTCTAAATTTGCGGAAAATCAAAATGCAGAGATCAACAAACCCCAAGCATGAGACGCATCAAGAAAATTAGATACATTAATATAATTCTTCAAAATCAGTGCTTTAAAAAAACAAGATTTTTCCCTAAGACGAAGAACAAGAGAAGGATGCTTGGTCTGATTACTTGTACTGAGCATTATTTTGGAAGCTTTACCCTCTGCAATTAGAAAAAACAGTAACAATAAAATAAGAGACCTCTAGATTGGAAAAGAAAAAATAAAACTACTGCCTTTATTCACAGATGATATGATGTAGTATGTAGAAAATACTATACAATCTATAGAAAAAGCTACTGGAACTAATAAGTGAGTTTAGCAAGGTTGTAGGATATAAGATCAACATATAAAAATCAACTGTATTTCTATTTATTACCAATGAACAATAAAAAATAAAAAACATATAAATCTGACAAAAGATGTGAAAGGTCTATTCTCTGAAAACTACAAAACATTGCTGAAAGAAATTAATAAACTCTAAATAAAAGGAGAGATATATTGTGTTTACGGGTCAGAAGACTCACTATCGTTAAAATAACAATTTTCCTAAATGGATCTAAAAACGTACAAATGATATAATCTCAATTTCAGCATTATTTGTATACATTGACAAATTTATTCTTTCATGTAGAAATGCAAAGAACCTAGAATAGCAAAAACAACTTTGAAAAAAATGAATCGAAGGACTAATACCACCTGATTTCAATATTTATTATAAATCTAAAATAATCAAGACAGTATGATATTGGTGCAAAGATAGACAGATAAATAGGAGAAAATAGAGAGTCTAAGAATATACCCACACAGATGTGGCCAATTGCTTTTCAACAAAGGTGCAAAGGCATGTCAATGGACAAAGGACGGGATTTTGCTGCAAATAGTGTTAGAATACTTTGCAATCCAAAGGCATAAAAGAACTCTAATCCACACCTCCTGCTATATACTACATGCAAAAAAAAAAAAGAAAGAAAAGTTCAAAACGTATTGCAGCCCTCAAAGCAAAATTTGAGGCTATAAAACTCTGGGGAAAGAAACAGAGGAGAAAATCTATATGCCCTTATCTTAGGAAAAGATTCTTATATGACACCATAAGCATGATCCATAAAAGAAAAAAAAAGAGTTAACTGGATTTCATCAAAATTAATGTCAGCTTCTCAAAATAGTTTGTTAGGAGGATGAAAATTTGAGCTACAGATTAGGAGAAAATATTTGCAATTCATACATGTGTACAATAATGGTCTTACAACCAAAATATATTTTTAAAACTCTGAAAACTCACTAAAAAGAAAGCAAACAACCCAATTTTTGACAATAGGCAAATGATTTGAATAGATATTTCATCAAAGTAGGTATAGGAATAGCAAATAAGCACATGAAAATATGCTCAACAGCATTAGTCATTATAAAAATGCAAATTAAAACCACAATAAGAAACCACGGCACACTTCTTAGAACCACCAAAATTTAAAAAATGGGCTGTACCAGTGTTGGAGAAACTGGAACTCTCATACTGATGGGAATAAACTAAAGTGGTACAATCACTTTAAAAAGCAGTCTGACAGTTTCTTTAAAAGTATGATCTACTCTATGATCTGTGTAATCCAGCCATTCTACTCATAGGTATTTACCCAAGGAAAATTGAAGCATGGGTACATGAAAAGACTTGTACACAAGCGTTCACAGCAGTTTTATTTACAATGGCCAAAAGTAGAAATAAATCAGATATTACTCAAGAGGTGAATGGATAACTAAACTGTAATTGATTTATATAGTGGAATACTACTCAGCAAGGAAAAGGATAAGCTAGTAACACATGTTACATATGTATGAATCTCAAAATAGATTCATGCTGACTGAAAGAAGCCAGACTCCAAAAAAAAGTACATCCTGTATGATTCCATTTATACAAAATTCTGGAAAATGCAAACTTGGTAGATTACTTGTTGCTTGTAAATGAGAGCAGTGACAGAAGAGGGGAGGAAAGAGGAGATTACAAAGGGGAACAAGGAAATCGCTGGGATTCCTTATCCTGATTGTGGTAATAGTTTCATTAATGTAAACATTTGCAAAACTTCTCAAACTGTGTACTTCTAATAGGTGTGTAATGATATATCATTTTGGTTTTAATTTGCATTTTCTGAAAGACTAATGACCTGTTAGTAGGCATTTGATTTAGGCTTGGAGCCCATGAGAGGGAACTATACAAAACAGAGGGGTTTTAGAATGATTGCATAAGGGAAAAGTGAACTTGTAGCTTAAAGTTACTCCTTCAGATGGAGCATGAGGCATGGGAAAAGATGAGGCCTCAGACTAATGGCCAAAAACACAATCATCGATCTTTGAGGAAGAATAGGGCTCATCAATATCAAGAAGGCAGCCATGGCTATGACACAGGAGAGCTTTTGGCAAGAAGGTGAGGAAGAACCTACTTCCTAAGACTTGGTACATCATGTCTAAAGGACCTCTGAATCTAACTGGGCAGATCCCCTCAAAGAAGCTTCAAAGATCTGTGGGCTAGGCATTGACCTTGGGCAAGTGACAGGCTGGCAAGAACATGATCGTTCACAAAGTTTATGCCCTGATCCCAGAGAGCACGGGCCACAAGGTCTCTGAGAGCAAGAATTTCCATGATGCAGTTTCTAGCAGGTATGAGGCAGTCCTAGTACCTTGGGCCCAGTGTGGGATCTGCAGGGGCTGGTAGCCTTCTGAGAACAAAAACATGACCTTATTGGCTGTGGCCCCAAAGGCGATTCCATAGGACCATCGGTTACTGAAAGTGCCCACGAAGTCCAGAGGCCTGCAAACAACAGAAACAGTGTATGAGGCCAGAAGGTGGCTCTGAGACATTCCCACAGATATCACCAAAGTAGTGATCCCATCCTGAGGAGGGATTATTGAATAGTCAGCTGCTCATTGCAACTGACATTTCACAGGGCCCTCTGTGCCAGGCCTAGGGCTAAGCATGGATTCAGGGTACTGAAGTGAGGAGGACAAAACTCTTGCTCTGGAGGAGCTCCAAGACTAGCAGGGGATACAAGCAAGGACACCAGAAGGCATGAAGGCAAAATGGGATGAGTTTCATCTATAAGAGACACAGACAGAAAGACTCAAGGACCAAAATAAGGAGTATGTGTCCGAGACAGATTAGAGGAAGCCTGCCTTCATCCAGCCATATTCTATGAGATTTCTTCCTTCCAATATCCCTAAAGAGGGTCTAGGTACAGGTGTCATTTGCTATGTCTGTGCTTGAAGAAGTAATAAGCCACCCTAAAATATGCTACTCTGGCTTATCAACTGTTTCGAGTTAAACACACTTAAAAAACAGCAGGTACAAGATCATTCTGTCCTTCATGCTATTTCTTAAAAACAGGAGATGAAATTTCTATGTAAAAAATGCTCTCCCCATACAGAAGGAAAATAACATTCTTATCATCAGGGACAGGAAGTTGAGACCAAGCGAATTTGGTACAGACCTTATTTAAATAACTCTTGCCTGCTAGTCTCCCTGCACAATTTAGTTACTTTTTCACAACTTAACTATTCTTTGTCCAATTCGATGTGTACATATTCACCTCTAACTGTGTATTTGGGTCTTCATTTCCGTATAAGGGCTCCTGTGTCACATAAAACTTACATTATAATTCCCAGGCCCAGCTGAAAAAACTAAGAGGGTAGAGGTAAGCTTTTGCCTCCCCAAAATAATCATGCCTTCCTAGCCGCAGTTGACTGGACTATGGGCCTGTCTTTGGATGGGCTGATCAGATGTCTTGTCTTACGTTTTGAATCTGTGACCCTAAGGACAGGAACGAGTTAGTTGTTAAAGTCCTTGTCTGGAAAGTCATAAGAAGTTGCGATCAGAGTCAACGCCAGAGGAGAGCCAAGGCTATAGGGAAGCAGAGATTCTAAGTCAGCGAGGAAAATTGCAGAACGGTGCTGAGGAGGCACCAGTGACACAGAGGGGCAGAGAGAGAAGAAAATCAGTCTCCTACAGATTCCCATCTCAAGAGATCCAGTTTCCATGAGGCCTGATTTGTACGTTTATGTGAGACCTCCACATCTGTTTAAAAAAATCCTTTCTTGCCAGGTGCAGTGGCTCACATCTGTGATCCCACACTTTGGAAAGCCAAGTCAAGTGAACAGCTTGAAACCAGGAGCTTGAGACCAGCCTGGGCAGCTTGGTAAAACCCTGTTTCTACAAACATACAAAAATTAGCCAGGTGTGGTGGCACCCATCTGTAGTCCCAGATACTTGGGAGGCTAAGCTGGGAGGATCGCTTGAGCCCAGAAGGTTGAGGCTGCAGTGAGCCAAAATTGTATCATTATGCTCCAGCCTGGGTGACAGAGCTAGACTTTGTCTCAAAAAAAAAAAAAAAAAAAAATCTTCCTTTAATCTAAACAAGCTTGCATGAATACCTATTTCTTCTAACCAAGACAGCTCTGTATAGGTCAGAGGAAGCAGTTGCATTTGGGAGAAGAAAAAAGGCTCTTTGAATGAAAAGGGCCATTTAAAGTGGACCTTAATGAAAACTCAGGAGGGAAGGGAGAGCCAGGCACGGCAGGCAGGAAGTCTCATTGGCTCACTCACCTTCACCTTTAAGGCTCAGCAGGAGCACGCCTTCTAGGAAGCCTCCCTGATCACCCACCTCCAGTGAGGCTGCCCATCTGTGTCCCCTCAGCATTAAGTTCATGTCCCTGTTCAGCACACCTCTGTCACCCAGGCTGGAGTATAATGGTGTAATTTTGGCTCACTGCACCCTCAACCTCCTGAGCTCAAGCGACCCTCCCACCTTAGCCTCTTGAGTACCTGGAACTACAGGTGGGCGCCACCACACCAGACCCTTTTGAGATAGGGTCTAGCTCTGTCATATCATTTCCTCTCTGACTTAGAATCTCTGCTTCCTTATAACCTTAGCTCTCTACTTGTTTAGTAAACTATAAACTCCTCTGGGGTAGGGACTGAGCACAGGACCTTGGAAAGAGTAGGTACTTAGTGCAGGTTTGTGGACATACATTTTGTTGAATTGGATCAAATTCTGCTCAAGATTCCATCTGTAGTACTTAAGAGCTATGTGAGACACAGTTTCCTTATCTTTAAAACAGAGATAGAATCGCCTACTCTACCCATATCATAGTCATTGTGGACAGCAAATGATGAACTGCTTTATCAGCCGCACAGTGCCACACACGTGTGAGGGGTCATTGCTTGGAAAAGATGGTGGGCCAAAATTATCAGATAAGCAGGGGTTTAGGTGGGAAAGTAGCCAGGGAGCAAGTCAATTGTGTCATTATCAATGCAATTCAAAGCAGTTGAATGTAATTACTATGGCCTCCTACTTCTTATAAAGTCCTGTGCCAGCCCCTACATGCTAAATGTCCAGGACAGAACTGAATGTCTTTATCCACCAGCTTCAGTTTTTTTTTCCTCAATCAATAGGTCTCAGGCCTGGCAGCTTAAAAAGTATGGACTGCCCCAGTGGGTGGTATCCCGAATGAATCTCTCACTTGCAGCTTAGGTCCCTCCTTGCCTCAGTTCTGACATCTGTTTCTCTCTCTTCTCCAGAGTCCTTGGCTGAGACCTCAGCAGGTCCACAGCTTGAGCCTGCTCAAGTTATAACACTGGGGATTCAAGAGAATATAAAGCTGATCTGGGCTAAAGCTCTTGTTACTTGTTAGCTGTGTGGCTGTGGACTGGTCATTTAACCTCTCTGAGCATGAGTTTTCTCATCCATTGCACAAGGATAACAACTTCTACCATGCTAGATTGGCAAGAGGATTTGTCAAAATTCGGCAAAGCAAATGGTTCAGTGCTTGGGTCACAGATGGTATGCAATAATGTTAACTGCATGAAGATGAAGATGATGACAAGAAGTGATGAAACAGATAGGAGCAATCAGAACTCAAGGAAAAATGCGACATGAACTGCAGAGACTCAAAATGGCAGAGCGAGAAATGCTCTGAAAGCTCTCGTGGTGCATGACCCATGGTGCCATCCTAACAAGAAGCTTTGCTGTCTCCAGTCACAGGGAGCTCTCTCCCTCCTGCCTCCTGAGGTAGCTATAGTCTCAAGTGTGGGAAGGTCTTTTCCATAGTAAGCTGGGTCTCCATGATATGTTTTAAGCATATTTCAGCAGCCCTGGGTGCTGAGAGCCGCAATGGCTTGGAAACCAATTCTGAACTCTAAGAGCTTTGGTTGGGTTGGGGCATGGAGGGGCAGGGCTGTGCAGAGTGAGGTAGAGGTGGAGCAGGGGTCCTAGGAGCTACCTGACCTCACAATTGGTGTTGACTCCAACCACAGGGTAACCCAAGCTGTAGGGGTTGACTCAACTCACATGATAATTCCAAAGCGGTTCCCCAGGAGGTAAGAGGTATCATCTCTCTGTCTACGATACTCTCGTCTTTGGAGGAAGGACAAGATCAAAATGATGAAGAGCTGTAAGAAGAGAAGATGAGAGAATTAGTGGGCATGTTCATCCTCAGTGTGGCCTCTAAGCCCTCCCTGAAAGCAAATGTGTGGGTCAGCAGAGTGCACAGAACGTTAGTGACACCTCAAACTCCAGAGTCAGAGGGCTGACTGCATGCGCCCTTGAGCTACCAGAATGTTCTGTACTAAGCTTTCCCTTCTGTTTCCCTCAAAAGATGTAGGTTCAAATCTGGTCTCTCTCACATCCTGGTTGAGAGGGAGATTTAACTTTCCTGTACCTCAGTTTCCTCATCTGTCAAAAGGCAGTACTAACTGCCAGGTTGCAAAGCCTTCTCTGCTGCTTTCCTATGTATTCAGTCATGTTCTCACAAACTTGATGCTCTTTCTCCCTCCTGCCTTTATCAGAAACTTCTTGAGAATTTTCTACACTTGTGTCTCCATTCCTTTACCTCTCACTGGCTCCTGAATCCCCTAATCTGGCTTCTACCCCCTTCACTCTGCTGAAAAAGCTATGGTGAAAGTCACTTATGATTGTTTTGAGGCTCAGTCCCATGTATACTTGAAGTCCAAATCTAGCTTGATCTCTCAGCAGCATTCTACAGTGTTGACCATTCCCTCCTCTTTGAGTACTCACTTCCCTAGGCCTTCATCAAACATGCTTTCCTGATTTTTCCCCATTATTTCTCTGTATCCTCTGCTGGATCGTTCTTTACCTCAGCCCTAGATGCAGTTCCTTATAGCTCAGTCCAAGGGCTACTCATCTTCTTACCTGGTCTTCTCTTCCTTGATGACCTCTCATTTATGTTGCCCAGGCTGGTCTCAAAAGTCCTGGCCTCAAGTGATCCTCCCACCCCGGCCTCCCAAAGCACTAGGATTACAGGTGTTAATGACCATCAATACACAGAAGACTTAAATATGAATCTCCAGCCCCGACCTTGTCCATGAACTCCAAAACTACCTAACCAACTACACAGTTGATATTTCTTTTTAATGTATTGAAAGCTCAAAGCTTTTATCAAAAGCTTCAATTTGTCTCTTGTTTTGAGACAGGGTCTCACTCTGTCACCCAGACTGGAGTGTAATAGCACAATCACAGCTGACTGTAGCCTCAAACTCCCAGGCTCAGTTGATCCTCCCACCTCAGCCTCCTGAGTAGCTGGGCCACTACCCCCAGGTAATTTTTGTATTTTTTGTAGAGATGAGGTTTTGCCATGTTCCCTGTCCTGATCTCAAACTCCTAGGCTTAAGTGATCTGCCTGCCTCAGCCTCCCAAAGTGCTAAGATTACAGGCATGAGCCACTGTCTTCTATCTACCTTAAACCTGGGTCTCTTCTAATTTTCCTTAATGAGTGAATGGCAGCTGCCATAACCTTTTCAGTTGTGCAAGTTAGAAACCCAAGTCATCTTCAACCTCCTCCTCTCCCTAACCTTCCTACCCAGCCCATTACAAGTCCTATTGTTTTTACCTCCTGAACTTCTGGAGTTGACATCATTATCTAGGATGAGATAAAATCACACCTGGATCCCTGAAGGTGAGAGGGTCACAGATGGTATGCAATAATGTTAACTGCATGATGATGAAGATGATGACAAGAAGTGATGAAACAGATAGGAGCAATCAGAACTCAAGGAAAAATGCGACATGAACTGCAGATACTCAAAATGGCAGAGCGAGAAAAGCTCTGAAAGCTCTCGTGGTGCATGACCCATGGTGCCATCCTAATAAGAAGCTTTGCTGTCTTCAGTCACAGGGAGCTCTCTCCCTCCTGCCTCCTGAGGTAGCTATAGTCTCAAGTGTGGGAAGGTCTTTTCCATAGTGAGCTGCGTCTCCGTGAGATGTTTTAAGCATATTTCAGCAGCCCTGGGTGCTGAGAGCCGCAATGGCTTGGAAACCGATTCTGAACCCTAAGATTGGTCTCCCTGCCTTGTCTCTTGCCCACTTCCAATTCAATCTCCACACTGTAACCAGAGAGATCGTTTAGAAGTATAAATCTGATCATACCACCTTCATGGAAACACTTCCATTACTTCCCACTGTACTTAGAATGAAGGCAAAACTTAACACAGAGCCCCATAGGGCTCTATCTGGCCTGCCCTGCCTACCTCCCCAGACCTCTCTACTTCAATTCTCCAGTCCAGCCATGGCTGAACTTCTCAGCTCTTCCCACTCTGCCTTCTCCCTCCCTCCACACAGCCTTTGCATGAGCTCTCCCCTGTCTGCAATATACTTAACTACATCTTCCAACTGACCTCAGCTCCGTCATTACTTCGTCAGAAAAGCCGGTTTGACTTCCCTAAAAGCCCATATGCTTGATTCTTGGGTCCTTAAAAGCCTTCTATTGCCATATTTTGGGTATACAATGTAAGAAATTTTGGAAGGAAACGCAGCTGACCTCTCTCCCCTGAACTCTCAGGTCTGTTTGGGAGTCTGTGTTTGGCAGTGGCCCAGCTGCCCTTTCCTGCCCTCCTCACCCTTCCCCTGCATTTACTTACTGATGGGATGAGGGAGTAATGGAGGAAGAGCTCCATGTCTACCGAGCTGGTACAGGTGCCATTTAACTGCCTGGTCCTGCAAAATGGCCAAAAAAAAAATCACATTCGTATCATCAGTCATTGCTGTAGTCATTCACCCTTTAGCCTTGAACATCATGTCAAGAAGTTTGTCTTGTAGCCCACTAAGACCATCTGATCTTTTTAAACATCACCTTCTCAGAGCCAAGGATGCTCACCTGTAGTGTGTCTTCCCTAAGTGGTATAATCTTTCATATTTTTTTCTCCAGCTTGATTGTTTATCCAATGTCTCTGCTAACTGGAATTAAGTCCTTCATTTAGGGGCAGAATCCAGTTCTATGGGGCTCAAAGCTTATATAATTAGGGCATCCTTTTAAAGTAATACTACAAAATATCTTACTTTTTCATATTTTAAGGGAGACATATGACCATGTAAACACTTTAACAGGGTTCTTCCCACTCTCCCAGAGCCTTGGAAGGGTCCTGTGTGAGTGAGGGGCCCTGAGACTAATCCTTCACTTCACAAGAAATTAGCATTGTCAAGGTCAAGAAGCATCAGCTCACTCCTGAGCCACTGCTGGGCTGCTGGGGCGAGAGAGAGACTCCTGGACTACAGGCTGCAGACACTGTTCTCTCCAGCCCCCACTATCTGCGGGACAGGACTGTCACTGTCTCATGTCTAAAACACATGGCAGCATTGTTATGGCTTCTCTTCAAAGAGATGCCTCCTTTCTGGGAATCCCACCACACTTTGTTCTTTCTGCTCTGATTTCCACAAGGCCACCACAGCACATTCTATCATATATGTCCACATCTTTGTCATGCTCTTCCCAACTCCAGCAGCATCCTCCAGCCATCTGCTGACCTTCCTTCCCTAGCCAGCACCTACTGTTCTCTCAGACATCTCAGAAAAGAGGACTCCTCTGGGGATTCCATAAGCATGGCATATTACCCAGTAAGTCTTTAAAATGCCAGTACTCCACAGTTACGTCTAACCATGGATCTGAAATATCTGATAAGGGATGGGGTAGGGGTGAGTGAGACTCAAGCTGTCAAATATGTGATATAACTGTAAACTTTTAGGAAGGTAAACAGAGCATATAAACCAGTCTCCTCATCCCATAGAAAACCCTTAAACTGATGGATGGATGGATGGATGGATGGATGGATGGATGGAAGGAAGGGGAGAGAGAGAGAGACAGGGAGGGAGGGAGGGGGAGAGAGAGAGAGTGAGAGAGGGAGAAAAGAAGAAAAAGAGAAGAAGGAAGGAAGGAAAAGAAGAAAAGGAAGGAAGGGAAGAGAAAGAAAAGAAGAAAAGGAAAGAAAGAAAAAGAAAGAAAGAAAAGAAGGAAGGGAGGGAGGAAGAGAGGAAAGGGGGGAGGAAGGAAAGAGAGAGAGAGAAAATGCATAACCATACTAGAAAACAAGAAGGGGCTATATCAGGGACATGGAAACTACCAGAAGACCTTGAAAGATGGAGAGCAACTGGGACTAAATCAGAGTAAAGGCATCAGCCAACATGGCCACAGGCTGTAGGAGCACTCAGGATGTGCTCAATACCCACAGTACAAGAAATGGAAGCAGAATAGGTCTGGCAGTGGACCACAGGATGATGAATTGTGGTGTCATAGAGAGGGCAATAAAGCAGATGTCCCTGTTCAAGTATCTTCCCACCCTCACTGACCAGCCAGTTTCTACACTGAGACTATGAATCAACATAATCCTGAGTTATTAAAAGTGGTCATCTCTGGGTGGTAGAATTAGAGGCATTCTATTTTCTTTTTCTTTATATAAAGATGTACTGCTTAACAGCTGCTTATCTATCCACAGTGCTTAAGACAGTGCTTAAGACAGTATCCATGGTGGCTTATGCCTGTAGTTCTAGCTATTTGCAAGCGGAGGCAGGAGGATTGTTTGAGCCCAGGAGTTCAAGGCTGCAGTAACTTTGATTATACCACTGCACTCCAGCCTTGGTGACAGAGTGAGACCTTGTCAAGAAGAAGTTGAAAGAGAAGGAGGAAGAGGAGGAGAAGTATAAGAGGAAGGATGAAAAAGAATTCTGAAACTTTAAGACAGATCTTTTGAAATAAACTTGGCAGAAAAGACAATGAGAATAAAAAAGAATGAGAGCAGCCAGGTGGGAAGGCTTGAGATCGTGTGCTTGCTGGAGACCCCAATCCGTATTAGCTTCCTTTTAGACCATGAATGAAAGTTTCTGGAAGATAACTTTGATGGATTTTGCAACAAATTTGAGCTGTCTGACTCTAAAATGAAACATAAAAAATTCTGTAATTTGAAGCAAGCAGAAAACAGTCTCATTGTTTTCAGAGCTGTTCCAAGATCATTGTGCTTGCTTCAGCAAGAAACCTCAAGTGCAGAGCTGAAAACTGAATGTGCAGTGGTGCTGGGAGGTCTTTCTATGGGCACTGAAAACAATGTCAAGTCTCTACTGACTCGTTTAATCCCAGCCTTGCAACAAGAACTGCTGTCCCCAGACCTGAAGTTCACTGAAGCTTGTCTCCAATGCCTGCATACCATTTTCTCTAGACTTGTTACTCCAAAGGAGGTACTGTATACAGATGCCACAGTGACACTGCACCTCATGGCACTGCTTTGCAGGTTCCACTATACCCAGGAGTACATCTGTTGTATTGTCTCACACTGTTGTAAAGGGCCAGATCATCAAACAATTTTATGTAGCCATGGCGTAGTTCAGAACACTGCTCAGCTACTAACCTCACTGTTCTACAAAGTTCAAATGCAAGCACTGAACTGTTTCTCAGTTTTACCAGGAGCATCCTACATCCTGGTAAATGTTTTGGTTGATGTAGAATTGTTATCACAGATTTTTGTGAAGATGTTACGGAGGGCTAAGTATATTGAGATACAGCTTACATCAGCAAAATGTTAAACTCACATGCATACAGCTGGAACAATTCAGACAGATAACAACTGTATTAAAGACATTGCCTTGTTTGTGCAGTAAGAAGAGATTACTAGAGGAGAGAGTTAAAGAAGCTGAGACACTTGCCTATCTGACTGAACCAGATATTGACCTACAGAGAATCGCCAGCATAACTGCTCACCTCATTGCCGTTTTCTGACTGTTTCCAGTATCCCAACTCATTGAGTGCCATCACTGATATTAAAAGACTTGATCATGATTTAAAACATGTACATGAATTCTGCCAGGCTGCATTCAAGCTCTATGACTCTCTTGGAGCAAATGATGAAGACATTCAGAAGAAGAGCACTGAGACTGAAAAATACGATGGGCTGAATTGTGGCTGGCTTGTCTGAGTCTAGTGTCAAGGTGTGGTTAGCTGCTGTCAGATGTTTGCACCCTTTATAGAGATCTGTGCAGCAGCTTCAAAACAGTTTCTAGGATCACATTGTCTGAAAACATTTAATGAAGGTTTTACAAAATGCACCAGATGAAATCTTAGTGGTAGCATCTTCCACAATATGTAATCTTCTGGAATTTTCTCCAGGAAAAGAGCCAATTTTAAAATCAGGAGTTGTAGAGCTACTTTGTAGATTAACCCAGAGTGAAAATCCTGCTTTACAAGTGAATAGAATTTGGGCTTTAATGAATATGGCATTTCAGGTTGAACAAAAAATAAAAGCAAACATTTTACAAAGCTTGAATACTGAACAGATATTCCGGATGTTATCAGATTCAGATTTGAATGTGCTGATGAAGACACTGGGACTTCTTAGAAATCTCCTCTTAGGAGGCTGAGGCAGGAGAATTGCCTGAACCCATGAGGTGAGGTTGCGGTGAGCCGAGATCACGCCATCGCACTCCAGCCTGGGTAACAAGAGCGAAACTCCGTCTCAAAAAAAAAAAAGAAATCTCCTCTTGACCTGGCCTAATACAGATAAAATAATGAATACTTATGGAAAGTAAACTATGCAAGCTGTCACCTTGTTCTGGAAGGGGAACATAACTTTAAGGTCAAAGAGTAGATACTGTGCATCTTAGTCAACACAGCAGATGAGACAACAGCAAAATAATTTATTATGACCAATGATGATATCCTTCAAAAAATGAAATATTACATGGATTAGTCCCATGTCAGACTGAAGCTTCCAGCTATGTTTTGTATATCGAACCTCATATTGAATGAAGAAGAATGTTCACAAGAATGCCAGGATAAATTATGAGGCATAGGCATCATAGATATTCTACAAAAACTGAGTTAGCCACGAGATTCAAACCTTTGTGACAAGGCAAAGATGGCACTGCAGCAGTACCTGTCATGATGGGAGTGCCCTTAGGCACCAGCAAGTATCCTGCATCCTTGTTTAAGAAAGTATAGAAACTAGCTTTATCTGATCCCTTCTATTTGCACAAGTCACGTTGGACTGCAGGAGCTATTTTGCAAAACTAATTTTGTAGGCTTAGATCTCAAATTTACCTTAAGAACATTTTTGAGGTAGTAATTTCCTCAGAAGACTACTTTTTGAGCTACATGTACTCTTTATTAGAACAATCAATCATTTTCCTTTGGACCTACAATCTTTTGTCTATGCTATAGCCACTTTGTGAGTGAAAATAAATATGTCTGTGTGAACACACAGAGGGGTGCGTGTGTGTGTGTGTGTGTGTACATGTACATAGGCCAGAATGAATGCATATGTGTGTGGGAGGGATATCTCAGATTTTTCTTTTCTTATTTTGTGTCTAAATCTCTTTTCTGCAGATTTTCCAGGTCTTAAGCATTGCTTGCTGTATACAAATTTTACTGAATTATATACAGTTTGAATGAAATGTTATTTTAAATACAAAACAGTTGTTAAGTGTTCCATAAAGGTTATGCTGAATTTTGGTCAGATGAACATTTGGAAGTAAAAAATATATAAATTTATGAACCTCAAAAAAAGGAATGAAGAAAGTCTATGAGACTTAAGGGACATCATTAAGCAAACAAATATATGTACTATAGAAATGCCAGAGGGATCAGAGAAAAACAAAGGCACAGAAAACCTATTTGACAAAATAATAGCTGAAAAGTTTACAAGTATTGGGAGAGACTGACATCTAGATCCAGGAAGCACAAAGATCCCCAATTAGATTCAACCCAAAAACATCCTCTCTAGGGCACATTGTAATGAAATGGTCAAAAATCAAAGACAAAGAGAGGAAAAAGCTATCAGACAAAAGCATCAAGTCATGTATAAGGGAGTCTCCATTAGACTCTCTGCAGATTTCTCAGCAGAAACCCTGCAAGCAAGGAGAGAACAGGATGACATAGTCAAATTGCTGAAAACAAAAACAAAAACCCTGTTACCCAAGATTACTGCATCTATCATCCTTCAGAAATGAAAGAGAAATAAAGACCTTCCCCGATAAGCAAAAACTGGGGGAATTTATTACCACTAGACCAGGCTTACAAGAAATTCTTAAAGGAGTGCTACAACTGGAAGCTAAAAAAATAAATAAATAACCAGTAGAGGTACATTCGTAATCAAACTGATACTACCCCAGTGTTGTAATGGTGCTATGTGAATCTTTCATTTCTTTAGTATGAAAAGTAAAAGTCAAAACAGTCAATAAGAGCTACAATTAGTGGCTAAGGAACATGCAATAGATAAAGATGTAAATTAGAGCAATGAAAATATAAATTATGGAGGGAGAGAAATAGTATGGAGCATTTTTATGCAGCCAAACTTTAAATTATTATCTGCATAAAATAGTCTAACTACAAGATTCTGTGTTAACCCACAGTAACTATGGGGAAAAAAAGAAATTACAACAGACACGCAAACAAGAAAAATAAAATAAATAGAGCTTAATACCACAGAAAACCACTGAACCAAAGGTAAACAGTAAGAGAGGAAAAAAGAATCTAAAAAACAGCCAGAAAACAACCAAATGGCAGGAGTACATCCTCACTTATCAATAATAATTGTGAATATAAATGGATTAAATTATCCAATGTAAAGTAAGCTCCTGAATGGATTTAAAAACAAGACCCAACTATATGCTGCTTACAAGAGACTAGCCTCACTGGTAGACAAGCACAGACTGAAAGTAAAGGAATTGAAAAAGATATTTCATGCAAACAGATACCAAAAGTGAGCAGGAGTATTCGTACTCCTGATAAAGGATAAAGGAGATACATATTTTATCTATTTTATCAGATAAATAGACTTTAAGTTAAAAACTATAAAAAGCGACAAAGGAGATCATTACCTAACGATAAAGAAATCAGTCCAACAAGTAGATTAACAACTGTAAATATACACTCAACACTGAAGCATCCTAATATATGATGATTATATTATATTATGAATAATATATCGTGAATCACCCTAATATAATATAAATGAATATTGTTAGTTCTAAAAGGAGAGATAGATTGTAATACAATAACAGTAGGGTACTTCAGCATCCCCTTTTCAACAAAAGACAGATCATCTAGACAGAAAATCAAGAAAGAAACATTAGACTTAGGCCAGGCATGGAGACTTATGCCTGTAATCCCAGTGCTATGGTAGTCCCAGGCAGGAGGATCGTTTGAGGCCAGGAGTTCAAGATAAACCTGGGAGGCACTGCAAGAAACCTTTTCTACAAAAATTATTAGCTGAACCTTGGTAGCACATGCTTATAGTTTCAGCTACTCAGGAGGCTGAGGCAGGAAGATCACTTGTGCCCAGGAGCTTGGGGTTACAGTGACCTATGATCACATCACTATACTTTAGCCTGGACAACAGAGAGAGACCTGTCTCTATAAAACAAAGAAGCAAACAAAAAACAACAAACAAAGAAAAAAACACGAAACAAGAAACATCAGACTTAAACTGCACATAGACCAAATGAACTTAACAGACATGTACAGAACATTCCATGCAACACTTCAGAATACGCATTCTACTCAACTGCACATGGAACATTCTCCAGGACAGATCATGTATTAGGCCACAAAAAAAGTCTTAACAAATGAAAGATGATTGAAATCATTTCAAGTATTTTTTCTTGACCACAATGATATAAAAACTAGAAATCAATAACAGAAGGAACACTGTAACAGAAGTACAAGTTTATGGAAATTAAACAACATGCTCCCAAATAACCACTAGGTCAGTGAAGAAATTAAAGAAGGAATTTTTAAATTTATTGAGGAAAAATAAGAGTGGAAACACAGTGTACCAAAACTAATGGGACACAGCAAAAGCAGTTCTAAGGGGGAAGTGTATAGCCATAAATACCTACATCCAAAAAGAAGAAAGATTTCTAATAACCTAATGACATACTTCAAAAAACTAGAAAAACATTGACAAACCAAATCCCAAATTGGTGGAAATGCAGAAATAAATGAAACAAGGCCAAGTAAAGCAATTTTGAATTTTTAAAAATCTTTTATTTGAGATGGAGTCTTGCTCTGTCACCCAGGCTGGGGTACAGTGACGTGATCTCAGCTCACTGCAACCTCTGTCTACCGGGTTCAAGCGATCCTCATGCCTCATTCTCCCCAGTAGCTGGAATTACAGGTTTTCACAACCATGCCCAGCTAATTTTCATATTTTTAGTAGAACAGTTTCACCATGTTGCCCACGCTGGTCTCGAACTCCTGATCTGGTGACCCACCCTCCTCAGCTTCCCAAAGTGAGGAGATTACAGCCCAGCCGGGAAAAAA